GTGAATGGGCCCTCCCCTTCTTGCTTCTGCCCCAATATTGCTCCCCGTTCTCCCAGTAAAATTCTTTCAACATCTTCACCAACCACTCGACATCCTCTTCCCCATATGAGATTGATACTCAGAATCCCTGACCATTTTCACTCAATTGCGGTACTTCTGCCTTTCTTCCTTCACATACCACATCAAAAGTTTTGTTTGCCACCGCCAAAAATCTCCTCTTTGTTTGCTGCATTTTAATCTCCTCTTAAAGAAAAACCTTAACAGAACCCCCGACCACTATGCCCTCTTGTTGCTACAGCAGTGGCCGCTCAAGCTGCCTGGCGACTACCCTCTCTGTTGACCTTTCTCTCTCCTCTCGACTACCCTCTCCCTTCAGTCTCTCAGAACAGCCAGTTTACTTTTAAGTGGATATAAGGATGATATTAATTAGATTTGTTAGATAAACAAATAAGAACACTGAAAATTAGGAATGAGGTTCTTATTTCTATTTACCTTTTTAAAGTTCCTATAAGAGCCTTATTAAGACCTATTTTTTTTCGGTTACCAAATGAGGAGATTCAAACAAAGTGTTTGAAGCTGCGTATAAGTATAAGATGAATAATCTCAAACACCCTCCTCTTAGTATCATATTGAACTTCTTTTGCAATTTTGATTATGCATGTATGTTCTTTATGCTTATGGTTTTTAGCCAATTAACTAGGTTGACTTGCTTTGTGATATTCCTAGGATCCTCCTTGACTTTGTAAAAATCTTGTCCAGATGGTTGAATTGCTAATAAATGATTTCTTTTAATTCTTTTGAAAAATAAATTTTAAGTCTTTTAGTCAATATAGTATAGGTGGATTTTCCTTTCAAAATATCCTAAATAAAATTACCAATTCATTTGAATAGAATGTAGGTAGCATATTATGCGTATTTCATCCAGATAACTCAGGTAAACACCTAGCATACAAGAGTTGGAACAAAATAACTCTCGTAGAAGAGCTTTTGAGCACTCTTCTACCTCTTTCGCATCTACCAGGAATCATTGTTTTACAACTGTAGTCTTTTGTATGAGGGACGACTCTTGGTGGATGATGTAGATATTATTTATCTTTTTTATTTTTTCTCTTTATAATTTTATACATCAGATGCCTTCCTTGGTGCTCATTAATCCTATTTCTTTTTCCCTATAAAAAAATAACCCTCTCCTTTTTTTGACACTTTAAGTCTGGTGGATATAGGATTCATTATTACTAATTTTCTTGCATATTGGATAAGTGGTTTCCTGAATGGTTTGGAGTCTTAATTGGAAATTTAAGCTTGTCCTGAAGAACGTGTGTGTTGATATCTTTGCACATGAATTGCACATATCATTGCAGGTTTGCTAGTGGGGGAGGGACTATTGGAGATTTGGGTAGACCGTTTGGGTTGGGGCTTTGGAAGAGTATATGTTTGAGGAGACATAATATACAAGAGTGTATCAATTGGAAGGTGGAAAGAGGGAATAAGGTTCTCTTCTAGCAGGATGACTGGATCTGGAGGGGTAGTCTAAAGGATCAATTTTCACAGATTTTTGCCATTGCTCAATTGAAGAACATCTTTGTGGAGGCGGCTTATGGGGGAGGGGAATTCTGGAGGGAGTGGATAGTTAATGTGACAATAAATCTCAATGATTGGGAAATGGATGAAAATGAATCTTATTACAATTCTTGTCCACAATCCAATTGAACGATAATAGTGATCAACTTGTGTGGAAACTAAATAAGAATGGGTTGTTCACGGTGAAATTTTTGTACAACCATTTGACTAAAAATGGTGAGATAGGGGAGCTAAGGTTTCCAGCTAAGAAGGTTTGGAAGGCAAAAGCGCCACCAAGAATTGCTTTTTTTGCTTGGGAGCATTGTGACTATTGACAAGCTGATGAGGAGGGAGATAATAATGGTGAACAGATGTTAACTTTGCAAGAATGCAACCAAATCGTGTAACCACATTCTGCTATGGTGGTGGTTTATAACTTGTGGACTATGCTGTATGGATTGTTAGGGATCAACTGGTTATTGAGAGTTTGGTTAGGGATGAGATTTGGGCTTCGGAAGACATGTAAAATTTTTTTGTAAATCTCATTCCTTTTGCTATTTTTTGGGTGGTATGAAAAGAGAGAAATAGTAGGGCTTTTAAGATAATGGAAATGGAGATTTTTAGAATTAGGGAAAGTTGATTTCATTATTTTGGTCTCTTTTCCTGGGTCATGAAATATATAAAATGGAGGATTTTGGATATATAATAGACACTCTAACAGACTTGCAAATATCTTGTAAATGGGTGGTACCCCCTTGGTATTGTTGATTAATTATATACTTTATATTTTTATTTCAAAAAAATTGAATTGCACATATCATTATTTAGCATCTTATTTTATGGATAAATAGTTTATTGCATTTTTTGTATCATATTTGGTTCTTTATTTTATGTTATGTGGCCTTTCAAGTTCTTAGTCTTCTAATTCTATTTTTCCTTTGATAAGTGGAGTTCCAGAAGGAATCTTTTGGACAAGACGATTGGAACCTGAAGAAGCTATGATATTTTCTTTATATTTTAGGAATTTTCATATTATCTTTTCTCATTTATGGATGTACTTAATTTCCTCTCTCTAATTTTGGGTCGTAAGAATAATTTTTTTGAAGTTTTAATTTTGTGAATGTCCCATGCATACAAACACCAAGTTAGAACACTTTGTGTAGGTCCTAATTAAGAATTTACACTATGAAGTAGGTGCTAAACATTTTTGTAACCTCGTCACCTATATTTTCCTTATCCACTTTGTAAAACTAGTTGTAATGTAACCTTCTGGCTCTTTATTTAAAAAAAAAAATGTAACCTTCTAGCTCACCATGATAGAGGATAGTAGCAGATCCTTCATGATTTGTTTTTAAACAAGTTATTTTTAAAAAGTGAGGTCACTGCAAATAAATGTTAATTCCACCATGATCTGGGATGGTAGTGAATCTTACATAATTTATTTTTAAAGAAGTTATTTCAAAACAGTGGGTTGCTTCAGTGAACAGTGCTTTTCCTTAATTCGCTTCATTAAACAGGATGAAGGTGCTTTCTCCCTGCCCTCGTGATGAGGATGGGTGGGAGACCATCCAGCCAACATGACTTTGGGTGGGGGACCAAAGTAGCTTCCAGTCCGCCCATTGCTGCCCCTAGCCTTTGTCTACCATTTCTGCAAAGATATAGACAATATAGGAATTATCAGCATGTCAATGTTATTGCATATGATTCAAATAATTTATATTTTTTTTCTTCATTTACTTTTACTATTTCTTTTTGAAATGCACATTTTGTCGGTTGAATAAGTACCATGGATGAAGTCTCAAATCATATGGACTCTAATCCAACCGTGAAATGGTTGGGTCGAATTAAATGCCAAAAGGAGAGGATTAAGCTCCATTCACTTAGGATCGTGTTACTGTAGCTTTCGTAAAAAAAGATCTAAATGGTTGTAGATATTTGCTGAAAAAAACTCAAACTTGCCCAATTGTTTAGTGCATCCAGTTTTCTTGAAACATTTAGTAGATTAGGACTTTAGCTCTTTACTTTCTCTTTTCTTCATATCCAAAAATTTGACTTTTGTTATTTGTACCTATACTCTTTTTTTCTTTTCTAGAAAATCACAGTTTTCTTTGCATTTCCCCTTGTTAATATGAGCATCCTAATATTAATCTTTCCCTTGAACAGATCGAATTCCTTGATAAACTATATTTGTTGCTGGAGAATGAAATGCTAACTTCAAGCCTTAGCAATCATTTTTTCTTGAACTTTATTTTGTTGTTATAATTGTATGGCAGCTTTGCCTCTTCAGCACAATCAATGGCTTCACTAAAAAGACGGGATCTACCTGTATCAAGAGAAGGGGATCAACTAATTATAACCCCTTTAGGTGCTGGCAATGAAGTGGGTCGATCCTGTGTTTACATGTCTTTCAAAGGGAAAACCATATTGGTACTTACAATGCTTTCCTTGGTGTTTACTTTGCTTCGAAGATGTTTCCTTTCTTTCTTTTATATATATATGTTCTCGTATATACTTATTATTCTGTTCTTTTTTCTTTTTCTGCTTACTTATGGATGACAGTTTGACTGTGGAATTCATCCTGCTTACTCGGGCATGGCTGCTTTTACCATACTTTGATGAAATTGATCCCTCAACAATAGATGTGCTTCTTATCACGCAGTACATAGTTCTTTGCTCACTTCCTCTCCTTTTTTCTCTTATTAAAGTTTCCTATGTCCTTTTGGTTTTGGCATGACTGTCTTGTTAAACGTTTTTTTTTTCATTACTGCGCCTTTAGAATCATTAACTCAATTTGGCAAAGATTTTAAACTATGGCAATGGAGTTAATAGAAAACCATTTGATCTGGTGGAAGGAGAAAGGTTTATCTTTCTTGAAAGTTCTCCTTTTTAAAATAGAAGATGTAACTATTATAAATAAGGGAACCAAGAGGGTGCCACCGAACTGCAAAAGCCTAACAAAATTACAAGAAATAATCAGCTAGGATATCTGAAAAGGATAACCTTTGAACAAAATACACAAGGTCAGGAACTAGTTATCTCTGGTCCTGGACATTAGAAGCCAAAATCAGGTGTCAAAATTAGACCTTTTGATATAATTGGAGGAAAGTCTCAAAAAATGCCGTTGAAAAGGCCTCAAATCTTTCATAACCACTGGCTTCGATACCAAAATGGAATATTCTTTTCTCCTTGATCTATTTAAAGGCCCTTGTAACACAAAGTTAGATTGGAAAGTACCAGGTCCGGAGATACCACAATTCTTCTGGTTTTTTGTCCCTTCCTGCCCTGTTTTGAATAAATTAAAGTTTGGGCTTGTTGGAGAGAACCAAAGGTCTGCAACAGTTAAGTACTCAATAATTTTGATGATTTCTTATTCATGGTTCATTATGTTTATTCTTCCAGCAAACACAATAATAAGTGCTTCTCATGACTAGGAATTATCCGCAAATAATAGTTATAGAAATATTCATACATGATCAACTACCATACCAACTGGTGGCAGTCAAGTAGAGTCAACTACTTGTAAAGAAGACACCCAAACACATACGCAAACAGAATCTATGTAAGGACCAAGGAGGTGCCAACCCCTGTACAAAGTATTTATATATCCATCAGAATATAAATAAGATCTCCAAAATTTTCCGTAGAATGAAAAGAAATGACCCATAAGCAAAAAACCAAGGGTCTGTGACCATTTATCTCTAACCCTCTCAATCTCATCTTCCACCCTTCATAAGCTCTAATGTTTCTTTCTTTTTGCACCACCCAAAATATAGCGAGATGGTATATCAGTTACAAAATATTTTATGACTCTAATTGCAAAATGATCTTTTCTCATTCTCTTTGTGAATTTTAGAACCAGTTCCATTCTCTCCACCACCATATTAGACCATTTATGGTTGTACTACAAGAGATTAAGACACCCTTCTTTCTCCACCCTTAAGGTCATGTTTCTCTCCTTATTTTCTAATTGCATTAATGAAAGTTTATACTCCAGTATATGGGAACTAAGAAACTATTGACGTGTAACTTTACTCCTATCAATGAAAGAAGTGATTTTCCCTTTCAATTGACTTATAATGATGTTTTGGGTCCCTCTAACATTTGTCTATAAAGTTCCCAAGATATTTGCCTGAGTACAATGATTGATCCCTAATAAAAGAACTTCGGGTCTGGATATTCCTTCATAAAGTTTTTAAGCAGCAGGAAAGGTTTAAAAAAGCTGTATCTGAAGTGTTTTATACTACAAGGATAGGTAGAAAGCAATTCATAGCTCTTGGAATTCAAGGATAAGAATACTTTGTATTATATTAAATATCTGTTTGTTCTATCAATGTTTGTGAAGCTAAGATAAACAATGCGTATATATTTCTCTCTTTCCCTGTTCTCTTTGATACATCATGTTTTTATGCTTTCTGCATGCAGCTTTCACTTGGATCATGCAGCTTCCTTACCTTACTTTCTGGAGAAGGTTTATCTCTTTCTAGATGAACTAGCATGTCTTTTTCTTGCATTTCTTTCTTTGGAATTAAACTTACGTGCTCTATATTTCCACTAGACGACATTCAAGGGTAGAGTTTTTATGACTCATGCAACAAAAGCTATCTACAAGTTGCTATTAACAGATTATGTAAAAGTGAGCAAAGTTTCAGTTGAAGATATGTTGTTTGACGAACAAGACATTAGTCGCTCTATGGAAAAAATTGAGGTATCTGTTCATTATATTATTCTCGATCATAAGTGATTCTTCTGTCCTTGCTAATTGCTGGGTTACTTTTTTCCTGGAGTTTTGTTTGCATGCTTCTCTATGTTTATTATGGAGATTCTTCAAATGTAAGTGCAATCTACATGTGGAACTGGTGAAAACTTTTGTTTACAATATAGTAGTTGGCTTGGGATAATGCTATTGGCATTTATCAAAACCTCACCTTTTTGTTTGTATTCATTTATCTTGCCACAGATTGTACTGTTTTTTCAATTCTTTACAATTGGTTTTTCTTTCACACGCAAATGCAAATGAAGTCTGGGAGTGGGAAGAGAATTGTTGTTTGACATGTATAATCAGCTTGGCATGATGCTCATTGAATGCCAAGATTTCACCTTGTTGCTTTTTTGTGCTGATTTAACTTTCTGTGAATTCTTTTATTTTCTTAGTTATTTTATCATGTTGTAAAAAATGTTTATATACTTTCTGTGATTTCACCTTGCTGATTAGCTCTGAGTTACCAGTTTAACTCTGGTCTTTTTATCTAAAAAGAAGTTGACTTTGACATTAAATGCTTGAAACCTGATATAGATATTCTTTTTGGGATAAATATTTTATTTCTCCTCTTTGGTTTGGGCATATCATTTACATAAATTAAATTCACCAACAAGTAAGTAGGTAGAGCAAACTTATGCAGCCACCTTATCCTTGATTTCAAATCCTTTTCACTCTATAAGCCTATATTTGGCACATGAGTTGGATGTGGTAGTAGTTTGGGTAGGTTAAGGTAAGAGAACCATGTGTAAATATCTTATCCTACTATGTTGGATGGTTGGGTAGGGAAATGAGTGATATTCGAACAAATGAAATTATCATTTTCTCAATTTCTATTTATAAAGTAGTGATTGTGGTGGTGTTGGCAACAACGACAACAGTGAAGATGGTGGCGGCAATAACAATTATGGTGGCTTTGGTAGTGATAACAATAGCAGTAGGAGCTGTAGTTAATGGCTACAACAGTGATAACATTAATGACAATAATGATGATAATGGTGAAATTGGGGTAATGGTAGTAATGGTAGCACCTCTAATAGTAGTGGTACTGGTGGTTGCATTGCTGGCGATAGTGGTAGTGATGATGGCATTAGTGATAGTGAAGTGTGGGGGGTGGTGGTGATGACGATGGGGGTGACAATAGTGGTGGTTAATAGTAATGGTAGCACCTCTAATAGTAGTGTTACTGGTGGTTGCATTGCTGGCGATAGTGGTAGTGATGATGGCATTAGTGATAGTGAAGTGTGGGGGGGTGGTGGTGATGACGATGGGGGTGACAATAGTGGTGGTTAATGGCAATAGC